CGGCTGAAACACAAAGACATGAACAGCTGCGAGCCGCGTATGTGGCAATTCAATTCCACAGTTATCCTCGCAGGGGGCAATCTTCTGTAGAAAATTCACCCCCTAGGTCACGTTTCGATCCCCACTGAGCGGTTCTTGTTTTATTGAGACCCACTCAGGCGTTACGAGGAAGCTTACAGAGAAAGACAACATTCACTGGCTGCATTCTTATATCACAGATTTATTTTCAAAAATAACTTTGTACGCATGTACAGGGTGTATGTTCTTTCCGCTCTTTTAGTCATTATGTATGTAGGTGGTTCGACTGGTAGGAAGGCTTTTCTTTGGACTCATGGTAGCTGGGTCAACTTGTGGGAGATGCAGAAAGTTCGACCGGGTTGTTCGGGTGGGTGCTGGCTTTGTGGATTAGGACTTGTGTCGATATCCTATTGTTGCGCATAAAATACATCTATCTATCCTGCATTGTAATGTTACATACATGGATTTGTAAAAGTGTGTTCTTAATTTGTGATCAAAATCTTTTTTCGCTCTTTGTTCTTCGTTCAATGGACAAGGTGCACGTGTCACGGAGTGGTTATAAAAGGGTTCAAATGTCTCGATCGGCTCTCTCTTGTCCCGCTATTGCTCGTTTTCCGCGTCGAGGCCTTGTCCAGCATGTAAGAAAATATACGGTCTGTATGTCTCATTCTCCTCCCGATCCGCGGTCAAGCTCTCTCTCTCTCTGCAGTTTGTTCATCGTCTCATGATCACAAATAGGGAGAAACTCATCGAAATCGACAGGAAATGAGTCGAGATAGTCACTGAGTCCGGAATCAGTTTGGATTCCACGCTCCGGGATGTACATAATCGTCCGGCTTCTGTCTCATCTCTCGTCAGATCCGATTTGAAGGAGACGATCAGATTTGGTTGAGACAGCTGCGAGAGTATAAAACTTGTAGAAATGTAAGTTGACTCTCATGAACAGGAGCTGTCTTCCGTTGATATGATGGATTATTATCGAAACTTTCTTCACAGACGATTCCTCCGGCTTCGGTCTCTTCTTCCGGTCGAATTTTCGCAGCTTCTCTCGGTGAGACATTGCTCCGTTCTTCGAAATCGGTCGCTTCTTGGACGCCGTCCGATATTCAAATTTCGGAGGGACGACCTATTCCTGATCCACCTGTCGCACACAAGGAGTTTGCAGTCTCCACTAAATTTTTTGAGAAGCTTCGTCCGTCAGTGGGTGTCACTTCCGGCCAATCTCCGAATTCCGAAGTGCGAACTCTGCTAGAGTTATTTCCCCGAGTCGTGCGGAAGCGGATCGGCGCGCGAATCAGTCTAGACGAAATGAGACTGGTTCCGCTCTTCGAACAACAACAGGAGAGACACAGGTTCCAATCAGGTCTTTCCGGAGGTCAGTCGGCGGCATATCGCAGGTGATCAACAGCTTCACGTGTTAGACTGGAATCAGAGAGAAGGAACAAAAGATAAGCCACATTACACAATACCATTCTCCGAGCCTCGACGGTTGCCAAACGGAAGTGCTCCGAGGGAACTCACCTTGAAGTCAGGTCCTCAATAACTCTCAATACAACACAACGAGCACTCCTATCAAAATCACCGTCAAACGAGCTGATATGTTCTGGCTTATCGAGATTGCGCTCGATGTCAATCGCTCTGGAACGAGGTGGCAACATTTGAACCGCATGGTCTGACCCTGAGCAAATCATTCCCTCCCGCCTCCGTACCTCGAATAGTTATTGCCCGCGACAGCCCACAGTCATTGAGCCAGCCATTTTCCCGCTGGACGAAGATGTCCCGGTCCCCGATACTATCACCCACCGGGATCACTATCAACCAAGGAAAATTCTTCAATAAATATTAATGGTATTCCAACTTACCAGGATAGAACTCCAAGACTCGAGTCTGCTTGATGTCGGTCGATGGAATCGTGTACACGCAGAAGAACAAATGTCGCCGAGACTTGGGGCTCTGTGAACTGAGACGAAACTGTCGATTCGACAGCGATGTGGTTAGCACGGTGAGGTACCCGTCCTTGGTAGCTCGCCGTTGATGTCCCACAGGCTCTACGGAATAGTTGAGGGACTCCGTCATGTTGGCAACGTTCATATACTCGTTGCCCGCAATACGCGTCTGCTCTACGCGGTACATGTGGAGTTGGGGCTGGGGGAAGATGCCTTCGACTTGACACTTGAACTGCGTTTCCTGCGAGTCGGCTGGACGTTTGAACGACAAGGAGAAGCGACGGGGTTTTGCTGGAAACGGAAATGAAACAGACTCTGAGCTCAATTACTCAAATGCGGGTACTCGCCGAGGAAATCGACTCCGTCGCGTCCGAATCTTGGGGGTGATCGAGGGCGGAATCGAGACGCGGCCCACCGCCAGCTTCCGTTCACGCCATTCCAGTCCCCACTCCCCATGGAGGTTCAGGGTAGCGACCGAGGAAGTCCCATATGTGGGAAGCGATGCCGAAATGAAAGACCGATTATTCCTGAACGTCTTTCTTCCCCTCCCCTTTGTGGTTTCTCGATGTTCCCTCGTACTCCATATATCAACTCTCCGCCGTCTGGGAGCACAATTTTATTTGCACGACAAAGCAATCGTAGGGCAGATATTAGTATGATACCCTTGGACAACGGAAGGAGGAGCAGCCGTTGAAAGCATCCGCGTCTGGGTCTACTTCTGCGCGGTCACCGACTCATGGTCTGGCAGCGTATTTGTGATGACATTGAATTTCCCTCGCAAATCTACCATCTGGCGGGGAAAGGGTTTTCTTCCCGCATTGATCTCATGCGGTCTCTTTTGTGTGTATTCACGTTCGCATTGCGCGACCTAGTCCACGCTCCCCCATTTCCCGGCATTTTCACTCGCTTTCACTTCGAGTCTGTTGCAGGAATTATACCGAGACAGCGGAGGAAATTGGAAAGAGAGAGTTGCATCTCGGAAGTAGAGGTGACAGCTTGTCAGGAAAACTTTAATTATGGGCTAAGTGGGCGTACGGGCTAGCAGAGACAAGGGCTAAGCGAAGCAAGATGAGGATATGAAGCTTCGGGGAGCGGAACGAGAGGCTTACGGATAATCTGACGAGGGAACGAGAGGCGAGAAATGGAGAGAATAGGTGGCATTAGGTGGAATCTCACACCAATGACCTACACATATACATTCATGCATTAGATTTCTACGGAGCTCATATAGGAAGCGCGAGAGAAAAGGGACACATTGTTGGCTAGCGTTGGTGGACCTGCTGCTGCATTCGTGTCTGCTCCCTGGTCTGTTCGCTTCCCCGCAAATCTGCCTTTTCATTTAAGTAGTAGCGAGATAAGCTGGGGGAATTCTCGGTCTCCCACAACCTCCTCTCCACGTACGTCCCATTCATCGTTCCGTATTTCCCGTTTTCCGTTCCGTATTTCCCGTTTCCCGTTCCGTATTTCTCGTTTCCCGTTCCGTATTTTCCGTTTCCCGTTCCGTATATCCCGTTTCCCGTTCCTCATTTCCTCCTTGCTAAAATTTCCATGTCACTCAGTTCAATAGACCGAAGAAATTCTCGCTCCTCTATTCCCCATTCGATCTTTTCCCTGTAACCTGTTCCACACTTCCTTTTTTCCTAGAGTTCCGCTATGCCATGTTCCCCCTCCCTCGTAATGCTTCCCCCGCTTTCCCGTTATTCCCTTCCTGTTTCCTATCCGATTACATACATGGCGATACAGTGGGCTGTGATGACATCTCATGTTGGGAGAGTGAGAGGAAAGGGTTCTCGATAGCCGGAGGATAACGGTTATGTACTTGAGGAACATTTTAAGTCCGAGGATATCTCATGTATCTCGTCTCTAGTCAGCTCGAAAAGTATGCCTCCATTTCACCTGAGTAATCTCTTCTGGGGAAACTCTCTGAAGAAGGGTCTCTCCAGGGAAAACCCCGAGAATCAATTCAGTGACAAATCGACGCCGCTCATTCGTTCTGGAGGGGGATGGCGGAGCCTAGCGAGAAGAATGAGGCGGAAATCTATCCTATCTTGGGGGCAGGCATTCGAGATGGGGAGCCCGACAAGCTACAAGGCTATGACTAAGAATCTCACCATAGACAATCATGTCCTTGCTCCTGGTATCCTGGCCCTGGAGCGACGTGACCGAGCATGAATACGTCCCGGTCATCTCGGTGGTTGGTCGATTGATCTTGAGGGCTCGGAACTTGGTGTACTTATCCGTGTGCTCTGGCTTCGAGCCCGACAGAATGGCATAGTTCCGATCGATGCGTCCTTCGAAAATCTTTGATTTCGAGTACGATCGCTTGTTCAGATCGGGAATCCACTGATATATCGGTTTCGGATCGTCGTTGAAGAACCATTTCACGACGAGGTGCTGATCTTCGTCAGCATCGTACGTGTAGATACAGTCGAGTATCACTGGCTCTATGGTACCGTTTTCGACGAATGGTGGCACTGCGATCTCGGTGATGCTCACACATTCCGTCTTGTCTGGAATAGAATTAAAGACTTAGAACTCGATCCGGATCGTACCGACAGGGAACAGTAAGCCCTCAGCACTCGGTTCTAGCAGCTCTTGCCTCGCCCCTCCGAGAGTCTTCTCAAAAAGTCACCCGGGAGGGAGAGCGTCGCAAGTGCTCATCGATCCGTTGAATTTCTGTTTCTGATTTGGTGTTGGAACAAGGTCCCCCCTGGAGATGGGTTCCCGCGGGAACTCTCCCATTAAGAAAACTCGCCTCGTAGAACAACTCCGAATTCCACATTCCTTGCTTCTTGTCCCGTATCGGCGCATGGTACTGGTACGGGACTCACATAAGTTAGAATTAGTGAGATTATTGCGCATCGATGAGGCTCATCAAAGCGTCAGATTGGCACAGCGAGTCGCTCCGGGGATTCACGGAGAACGGACGGGGAATAATCATGATAATCTCCTCGCGCATCTCTCGGAGCAGCCGACGCGCGACGAGAGCATGGTCCGACAAGTTTTGTGAGCTCTCGTGCGATGCCGCAACAGGGAAAGCGATTCTGGGGATCTTTGGACGAGGAGAGGCTGAGGGAGAAAAGGCAATTGTGCCGCCTTGTATATTTTTGGATGTCGCGACCCACCGACCTACCCGCAGTCGAGCAAGAGACCAACTCGGTCAGGCCTATTGAGAAATTTCGGTTGGCGTGACCCGCATATCTTTCCGCGGAACTGACTCCGTACGACAACTCAGTCGTACTTGTATTCGGAACGGGATCGCTGACGTTGGGTTCATCGAGATCGGGATATAAGAAGAGAAGAAGAAGTTCTTTTCGTACGGAGATCCAGTAGTCAAGGACTTTGCGAGCTCTCTGTTCCCGATGTAAGCACATGAGCAGAGGACAATACATTGCGGAGATCTTTGGATTTTTGATCTCGTCCCCTCAGAGGATGACAATCAGGAATCGCGAGAGAGTGGGCGTCTCCATTGAGGGGCTGGGAGCTCTTGTCCCTTTCATACGCTCTTGTCCTCATTTTCCGACGTTCCATCCCCGCTGACTCAATCTTCTCTGCTCGCAGGATGACCACGGAAAGTCATCTTGTATCGTTACGAGAACAACATCCGTGGTCATTTCTTCGAGTCAAAAAGAATCTACTACCTGACCGAAGCGAAAAATGCTTCATTGAATCTGACCACTTGGCCCGCAGAAATCGATTCAGAGACAGTTTTACCTACATGCTCTCGTGAATCCCGGAACTTCCCCCGAATTTAAGTTAGGCCGTCTGCGAACGCTCTCCTGGGGTGTTTTTTCGTCCCTTCCTTCAGTCGCGCACTCTCTTCCCCACTCGGGAATGAGATCCAACGAAGTTTGCGGCGCTTTTTTTCCAACGGGGTCTCCGTCCGAAAATGCCTACGAAGCATTGGATTCCCCGTTCGAGCCCTTTTCCTCAAAATGGGATTGCGCTCTCTCCCGTGGCCGTTCCTCCCCTCGTGCACCGTGAGCCTCTCTTCTTCTCGAGTCGGTACCACACAACCCATCCTGGAGCATCGACCACAGTTAGCGAACCGCTCCGGTTCAGTTCCCCTTCCGTTTTTTCCCTCCGTTGACTTTCGCCTCAATCTGTCACGCTTTTTTCGGTGATTTGCACGAGAGTTCGTAGACTCCAAGTGGGTGGCTCGCCCAAAATGAAATGGGCTTGTTTGTGTGGAATGAAGCCGACGTGAGGTGGGATCCACTCTAGGAGTTATGTCCCATGCGGAGACGAATTCCGCTCATGGAGTCGGGGACGCAGCGCCAAAACTGTGTCCGAACTTTCGGCAACACAGAGCGGAACGAGGCGGACGAGTCAGGGGGTGGTGATTTGCAGAATTTTACGAAGCTATCGAAGCTCATGATGCCTGTCGACGGAATTACGGTCAGGGGACTTTGGAAGCGTGGAGGAGTCGAAGAGGATTCGTCGCTCTGGAACTCCTTTCCGGGTCTGCGTTCCTGAGGTCGCAAGACGAGATCTAGAGGCCGCTAATCTCGATTCCCCCTGATTCCGCCTCGGCGTAACATTCGAGGATTCGGGAAGGCTTCTCGCAGAAGTGTGGTATATCTGCCTGGAGGGGAAAATATATGCGAAGACTGAACCAGGTACACTCAGGACTCAGGACGTCATGATGATCACCCTTACGCGATTCGTGAGGGCTCGTATGATACGACACGATGTGCAATGATTAGGGCTCGTAGCCAAAGACTGCTTCCCGCTCTGACAAGGCAAGCGGACTGCCGTACTCTAATTCAAGGATTGCGCAGAGCTCGAGATCATATCGCTGTCGACACGGAGCATCGACGAGGCGGCCCGAGCAGGCCAAATGGCTCTGTGTTGCTCTCATCCCCTTCCCCCATGTGGTCATGTTTTATTATGTGATTTAATGTCGTATTATGCAATTATGCCAAACGAAATCACAATGAAGTTGCTCGGAGGCCTCAGTACGACCACCCCTCGCTCAGATGCCCGATCAAGAACCGAAACCTCAGAAAGTGCGCCTCCTGAGACTTGCTGAACTTTTCACTTATCCTACCGATTGTTGACCAACGGGAGAGCACAGTGGCGTTTCAATAGCCGGGCATCCTCCTCAGAGGAGCAAGACGTCCCTTCACAAGAATGAGCGACGGGTTCTCGATTCTGGATTCGATTCAACGGAATTTTTCAATATAGCTCGCTCATCGATGGCTGAACGGACGGAACTCTTTTCCAGTGTGAAACGGAAGCACGGTCTAATGAGCGAACGAGTCTCAGTCAGACATCCAGCAAGCCGGCGAGAAATTCCGGTGAATTCCGGAAATCAGTGATGGATTTTGAGAAGACAGCCGCGACTGATGGCGGGTCTTGTCGATTCAGTTTCCCGGCACCTACTTCTTTAGACCTGCGAGTTTCCACGCGTTTCTGCTATCCAAGGGGCCTAGTGGAGCGAATTAAATGGCGCAGAATATTGGGATTGCCCTTAGCCCAAAAGGAATTCGAAGTTGCCACTTACGGTGTTGCACCGATGGTGGCTTTCTGGAGTCGCGCTTTGGTGACACTTGGTTAATGAAGATTCGAAGACCTCTTTGGACGACGGTAATCGATTCCTGGTCTAATCTGCATATCGACCACGTCGACATATCAGGAGGGTTTTCTCCTCCAATCGATCCGCACACGAAAATTTCTCATACCCGTGCTTGGTATGCTCGACCACGGGAATAAGGAGGAAGGGGCGAGCGATTCCCTTTCCCGTTCCTCCAAATCGAACGTCCCCGTTTTCCCGCCGAGCTTCATCCCATCCCGGGTTGGAAAACTCCCTCCACGGAAGACTGTTCTCTGTTAATTCGTCGGGGCATCTCAGTCAGGAGCGGAGGAACTGCCCAACCTTAGAGAAGAGCGCTGGACATTTACCAGATGTCATTCGGTTGGAATCGATATATAAATAGCTTGATGGAGTCAGTCTCGATAGAATGAGACTCACCTGTCATGCAGACGAGAGCCAGCGCCACGCAGGTGATCCGAAGCACGCCGGCCGACAACGACATGCTAGCGGAGCCTCAGTCAGGAGTGTGATCGTGGGACTGATGAACGGCGTGACTGTCGTCGTGATGGAAACGGTTGCGACGGCGAGTACGACGACGCAACGTGACGTCCCGCGGAAACTCAAGAAAGTACTTCACATCACAGCTCTTGGATCCACCGCCAGGCTCACAGAGAGTTCACATTCCACTGTCACCTCCGACCCTCAAGCTCGTTGTCAAGGGTGGTACCGCTCTATTTCATTCGGTTTCCGGGATCTAGGTCTTCGATGTCTCTCAGTCTCGTGCCGTTGAATACTTCCGCTGCAGCTGAGCGGCAAGTGCGCTCTGAACATCGTTGAGCAGCAGGAGTGCGCTCATATGTTGGATGTTCTGGGAGAGGACTCCGAAAGTGGGCGAGGGTCAACCGATCGAAGGAGGGGAGAAGGTGGAGAAAAACGAGGACGACGAGTAGAGGGAGAGAACGAGCAGGTATGCTTTCGTATAGCGCTCCCGCAGATTCGGACAGGCGCTCCGTCATTGCTCACGCCGATAGCCGCGGGGTGAAGCCGAGTTGTTCTGTCCCTGCTACCGAGATCTTTCCGATTTCCGGTCCGGGAAGGCTCCGCAACCCCTCGGAACACCTATTCTCCCTCGTGCCAAAGCCTCCGCATCTTGACTTCTCCCCGGACAGAATCGTCTCCCCATTCTTCTTCCGACCAATCCATGGGTTCTCACGTGTCTCCTTCCAATTTCAGCATTGCGCCCCCCTTCGTCGCGTCAACTCCAGTTCTGACCTCCGGCTTCCCCTCAACGAGTCAACCTGCCGTCGATTTGCCGATTCTAGAACTTCTCGTTTCGGTCAACGGAGCTTTCGGTCTCGCTCTCTTCACGAAAATATTCGGGTTCCGGTCATGAATGCGCTTGCCGTAGTCCGAGCATCCGGAACCTTCTAGTATACCGATATTCCGCCGCGATCGGCGGCCGGAGCTCCAATCCGATTCGAAGCTCCTACGTCGTGGTTTTTCGTCCCGGATAAGTATCGAAGGCCCGAGGGAGCGGCTGATCCCTCTCCTGCTGAAAGTTAGTACCTAATCGCAGTTCATGACTCCTGAGCTGAGGGTCCTATTGAAATTCGACTCGGAGTGCCCACCGGCATGCTCGTCGATCCAAAATAGACGATACGTCAGGATCTTGAACAATCGGCGTCAAGGAGCCGCCACGCCGGAAGATCCGTATCTTCTGCTCCTCGTATGGAAGCCCTGAGCGTATGAATTCCCGCCGAGCATGCCGGATTCTATCCGCGCAGAGAGCGTCTATCCCTTGATCTACTCCTTCCGTTGTCGACGTGATGTGTCCCGTCGGCCCCTCCCTCGCGACTCTCAGGAGGACCAATTGTGAATTGCCTAGTAGACGCAATGAGCGCTTTGCCCACGGGGCAAACCCGCAGCTGCTACCGATGGCTCTGTCTCGTGTGAGTTTTCGTTAATTGGCACAAACCCTCAGCTCCCCCTCCCCTCTCCTTCCCCCTACCACTCGAGCTGGATTCCCTTCTCTACATCGAGACGATGCAGTGCGTTGTCCCACTTCAGACGTTCCCCTTCCGGGGAAAGTCCCGCTCACGAAACCCCTTCGCTCACTTGCTCGCTCACCAGCCTTCGGGAGGGACACCTTGAGAGAAAGAACACCAGGTGTTGGAACAAATGCTCCGCACTAAATCAAAGCAAGAGCTAGTTGAAGTTACATATTATTATTATTCTAATCCTTTGAAGCGTCCACATTGTTTCATAACGGCTCGTGAGGGCAGCACGAACTCCGACGGAACACGAGGCCGATCCGAGCACAGCATCGCGTGGTCATTAGCCTTAAGTTCCGAGATCGCTCTACATACTTAGATGTCCCTGATTCACGCCTTAAAGGAGGTAAAGACGGGTCGGTCTCCTCTGAAGATTCTATTTTGAAGCTCGTGCCGACCCTGCCTCCGTCTGAAAAACCACCGGTCTCGAGCAGGAGCCTGCTTCGGACACAGCCTCCGATAAGTCAGAGTCCCGGTTCAGCAAGGCACAGCGGATCGGGAAAGTTCCTCTCGACTCACTGCGGGTGAGGCGACATGATTGATTTCAACGGATGCGGAATTGCAATGAATTGGGAAAACGGGTGAAGAGGTGCGCTCGGAAGGGTTAAGCCAGTGCGCGCCGGCCGTCAGGAAGAGAAAGTGATTTGTGTTGAGGCAATAACAACGACGACGACGACGAGTTGATAGAAAACAACAATTGGGTTGCGAAAAGGAGGGAAGGGAGGAAACGGTACAGAGAGCTAGCGAGCGACCCTCGGGTACCTCGAGGAATTTTCCTGTGCCTGCCATTAATCATGTCCCGAAGCGTGCGGCTGTTTCATTAATTAAAAACATTTCACGCCAGCAGAAGCATCATCGGCATTCCGATTGTCACTTCCACGAGTGTCATTCATCTTCCCTCACCATTACCGAAAGATTTCCTCTTTTCATCCGTTTGTTTCCCGGCTGGCGCATTTCTCCGTTCACGTGTTTAACGTTTAGACGACGAAGACGAAGAACGAAGACGTCTTTTGGCACCTTCAGACGTTTGTCTTGCGCAGACACCTGGCCCACGGAAAGATTCATTTTCGAGAGGGATCTTTGATTGGAGAAACGTGGGCTTGCCTCGCTTCTGCTCTACGCAGCGGACGCGTTCGGAGTTGAGCTCATTCCCACCGAGAATTTCTTGGTTTTGTTCCTCGCATAAACTCCCGAGAGGAATCTCGCTCGGAACGATTCCGGTAGGTAATTTTAAACTTGATGGAATTTCTGAGTCCGGAATCGTGTAAAAATCCCATCTGCCAAGTCTTGAGGTCATTCCGCGATACCAGATGGAATGCCCATGCAGTTCGCGGCGCTTCATACGTGCCGGCTGGCAATCTGCGCGGATGCACGTTAACGTCTACTGCATCAGAGCGCCTAATGCTCCGAGCGGTTCTTCGAATAGCTGTCCGCAACACGCGCTGGAGACGAGAGCTGTAGGAAGATTTGCGTCTGCAATTTTTCCCCATTAAGGCAGAGCGCCAGCGGTCTCGGTGGGCGCTCGGTTGTTATTTCGCGTATGATATGTATGCATGTGAGTATGTATATGCGCAGAGCACATATAAGTGAACGGATGGACAAACGTTCGCCGTAGCATTACTCTGCTCCGCCGGCCGTTGAGAGGACGTTGCTTTTCATTCGGATGGCCGGTTGGTCAGATGGTGCGAGTCGACCGACCCTGGTCAAGCTTTGCTTGTCATCTGAGAGTCAGTTAGCCGCCGAACATCTGCGCATTCCCACCGCCCTCGGAGCCTGTGAGCTACAACCAACAGCAAACGCAACGCTTCGCCCGCGAAAGTCAAGCCGAAACACACACGGAATATTACTGGTTGGGACAACCAATGGCGATAGCGGTATGTCTCATCGACGTCACATTCCATCCCCACGATTCGATGGGGCGATCCCGTGTGTATTATTATTCCGGAGGCAGAACTCGGGTTCTGGAGATACCAGCGACCCAGGTTCCTCCTCAGACAAAAAACTGAGGAAGGGAAAATTCCCCGAATATAATTCACATCACCAGCTTGCGCTGCCGCGAAAGGGCTGACGAAAGGAAGTAGAGTTGAAAATCTACTCAACAATGAACGAATCGCGTGACGTACATCAGAAACTCCGAAGTGAACGAATGAAGCACCTACGATGCTCAGAAGCTCCGTGAGTGAGGTGTTTCCACTTTCTTCTATGAGCACGCTTCCTCAATCTGGCTGGCTCCTCCTGCTAACATGTCGCGCACGGCAAGGGCAATAATAGAGGGGGGTCCAAGCCACGCAGAAGGAAAAGGGTTGGCTTCCCGCAACGGCACTGCGCAATTTCAGAGCCGCGCACAAGCCCGGTTGTGCAAGATGAGCACCGGGCCGAGACACGAATCCAGGTTGAAACAGGATTTTTACGACGGCCAAAACAAGTCCTCACTTTTGGATTTCGGAGAATTTCGCGTGTTTCCGGGATGATCCAATCGTTCGCCGGATCGATGGCGCGAATCATGAGGTAGTACCCACGCAGCTCGCGCGATTCCATCTCAAATGCGTGCTAGTGCCTCAAGAAGTCCCATCCGGATTTTTCGACTTACCTCAAACTCCATTGCGTTGCATTTCTGTACATAAGTCCTACGCGGGCATTAATGGTATTCCAGACGGAGAATGCGCGGTCCTCGTCGCTATTACCGCTTCCGTGCTATTATAGGGATTGCGGGATTGTCCAGAGCGGTACTCGTTCCCGGAATATTCTACACGACGTGCTATTTTCGTTCGTGCCGGGCAAGTGTTCGGCAGGACTTCGGATCGCCAATCTTAATCGCCAACGCGTATGTATGCGAAGAGAAGCGACGGGAGCATATCGCATGAGGAGCTGACGTTTTCATCATCAGCGCAGTCCGTGGTATGTGGAGTGCTCGACAACCTATTGAATCTTGAGACTCTCCGATTGGGCTAAAATGGATATCAGCTTTCTGAGACTCTTTGAGCAAAGCTGAATATTTTTTCCCGCCCTTCACTTTCGGTTCTCAACTCCCGAGAGCTAAGCGCGAACCTGCCCACACAAGAGCTCGACGTTGTCCCTATCAAGCATCACACTTCGATCAAGAGAGAGGTTGCTCTGATCACGGTGAGCGTTGAGAAAATCTAGGAAAGCATCTCCGTGGTTCACGCTACAGACTGCACGGATGCTCGCGGAGCGAATCATGGTGCCTTGAGTATTTGCTGGTCCGAGTGCGTTACGTGACGCACATATGCTAGACTCCATAAGACGGACGTCTTGCCCGACCATGAACCACGCACCGAGTCTCCTTCACACCGGACCCAATGCGGGCTCGGAGCCGCGATGTCCCCGATGATATATCAGGTGAATCAGGCGAAATTTCCGAAGAGAGGGAAATAATGGTATTCTCTGTGGAGTCGAATTGGCCTTCAGAAGCAAGCGAGAGAGAAAAATGAGAGAAATAGGCCGCGAGGGGATGGCGAGACCGAAGAGACGTCTCTACCGCAAAAAAATCAACCTTGTCGAACTCTATTGCGGGAAGAACCTTTTTCTCCTCGGCGCGAGTTTGCTACCGGAAACATGGATTTACACCGGCGGAATTCGACGGGGACGTGGTTCCATCAACGTCCGCATTCCTAGGGTCTCCGTTTCAGGAGCATCA